GTATCGTAATTCAAACAGAAAGATAATCTATTTAGACGAAACCTGGTTCGATACGCATGATGATGTCAAGTACGGCTGGGTTGACAACACAAACAAGTGTGCGTTAAATACACCGTGTTCACGAGGAAAACGTGTTATTATTCTTCATGCCGGAAGCAAAGATGGTTTTGTATCTAATGCATTGCTATTGTCGGCCAAAAATATAACAAACTCTTCTGCCGATTATCACGAAGATATGACAGCCGGTTTATTTGAAAAGTGGTTTTGTTGAACAACTCTTGCCCAATATTCCGCCGAATTCAGTGATTGTTATGGATAATGCTTCGTATCATTCCCGCATATTAAATAAAATACCTAATAATAACACGAAAAAGGACGAAATTTTAAAATTTATGCAACTTAAAAACATTACTGTTCCTAAAAAGATTCCAGTAAAGAAAAAATTAATTAGAATAATCAAAAGTCGGAATTTTAAAAACGAATACGTTACTGACAGCATTTGCAGCAGGCACGGCCATACTCTTTTGCGATTACTCCCATACTATTGCATTTTTAATCCAATTGAAATGGTTTGGGGTACCGTAAAAAAACGATTGCGAAAATATAATCAGTCTCCAACATTAAGCGCAGTGGCCATTGAGAATATTCGAGAAGTAATTATTGGCATTAATAGCGATGTGTGGAAAAATTGCGAAGCTCATGTTGTAAAAATAGAAAACGAATATCCTGTTTTACCGGCAATAGCACCAATAGTTATCCAACCTGGGAACGATTCGACTTCAGAAGACTCTGACGATTCTTTTTAGTCCTTCTAATTAATTTCTTTACATCTATCGCGATGCATCTTGAACACTAGTATTCATTATTATACAGTGTGTCGCATTTAAGATATAGACACCTCTATATATCAGCTATCAAAATACATACAGATTTGAAATTTTGCACAGTCATACATGTTGATAGTGCACATTTTTTTAAGATAATGCGAAGATGCATATTAGGTATCGCATTTTTCGGATTTTCAATCGCGTATATCTCCAAAACTATTAACTTTTGAGAAAAATGACATAGATCTTATTTAGAGTAAAACCTAAAAAATATTTTTTGGAGCACAGAAGGTGATATTTTGAATTTGTTTAAAAAATTGTTTAAACAATTTCTGCCCAAAAATTGAGAAATTTTCCTGAATATAATTATGTAAAAATTAATAAAAATTATATGATTTTTCTTGAAATATGCGTTTGATGAACTGATCCCTTTTCTTAATTTCCACGCCAATGGTCGGCATTGGCATCAAAGAATCTCAAAAGCCGATGCTTGGCAAACTGACATTGGAAAAAGTATACCTAAAACTACATAACTCAATTTGTTAAATGTGTTTTGAAACATTTTTATTGTTTATTAATAATTATAATCAATTAAAAAATGCTTACTTTCGGATTTAATTTGCAATAAATTTTTGTTTATAAACATATTTTTATTTAGAAAATCTCATTTGAAAGAGGAAGTATTTTCAAGAAAGTCGTCGGTTGAAAAACTATCATCTACAACGCCTAGGTTTTTCACAATATTGAAATAAATGAAAAAAGTCGCTTTTTTGCTTAAATGGTAATGAAAAACCATGACGCCTATAAACCTAGCCTCCTATATCTATGCGAAGATGTGCAACATTTTATGCAAGTACCAAAAAATCGTCTTCAATAGCTCCTTTGGTGAAGGCAAACTTTCCATTCTTACTGGTTGTAGAGATTCTGCACCTTTGAACCATCACCAATCAATTATATTTATATTCTCATTTTCCAGTCATAACTGGATTTCTAAGTATACTTTTTTTATGTACTCATCGAGAGCATCAACAGCTGGCACAAGCGAAGATAATTTAACAGCAGTATCCTTTGCAGTGCATTTTACAAATGACTCATACCATATTTCATTTGCTATAAAAACGATGAATAATCTTCAATTTTATTCAATTTACTTACGTGAGTATCCTTAGCAAGTTCATATAATAAAATTATGCAGTGCCTACCAACTTCCAAAATGTCGTCGAACTTGGAAATGCTATCCTAAAACACTGCAGCCTTTTCTCGTAAGTTGGAGCATTTTGTAAAAGATTGACATTGATGATAATAATATCGTATGGAATTTTACTGGTGAAATCCTTTCGGTTAGATTCCGGCGCCAATTGTTTCTTTAACCCTGTTTCAAGTAGGCTTAATGTGCCCTGCGAAGCACGGTGAACAGCTCGTATCATTTCTAGAAATGAAAATGTCATTGTTGGTGCCGAGATTCATCTACAAAACTATTATGCGTACTGCAAGCTCCAAAACACGTATATTTTTCACGCTCCAAAATTATCGACCAAAGATATCATTGGTTTTTCTTCAATAGTTAGTTAATTTTTAAGCTTTGATATTATATTTATAAACAGCCATTTAAAAGTTAACTTCAAGGGCTACAAGACTAGCTTCATTAGAAAGTCAAATAACCCTTCAATCTTGAAAAATTAAGGTTTGAAGAACTTACTGAAGGGAGTGTTCACACCAAAACATACTTTTGTCTCCATTGTTGTTTGGTGTAGAAGTTTATAAAAAACGAGAATATTTATTGAAAAATGAACTTTAAAAATAATAGAACAAAACAGAATTCCTTAGGAATGGAGATCAAGCATTCTAATATCTCTCTTCAAAAAGGGAGACAAATCGGACGCGGAAAATTACAAAGAAATTAATGTATTAAACACAACACTAAAATTAACAACCAAAGTGATAACAAATAAACTGAATTAAATTATAACTCTAGCAGAAGAACAAGGTTTTAGGTCGGGAGGATCATGCTCCGACGCTATATTTATCATGAAGTAAGTGCAAGAGAAATCTTTAGAATTCAACAAACCAGCATATTTATGTTTCGTGAACCTTAAGAAGGCATCTGACCGGGTTAACTTAAAGGACGTTATCCACTTATTGCACACAAGAGAGATACCTTTAGAAATAATCAAAACCATCGAAAATATCTGCCAAAACAACACAATAAAAGTAGAAGAAGAACTAACTGATCATATTAAAGCTGGAAATGGGATAAAACAGGGAGATGGTGTGAGTCCTCTATTGTTTAACCTGATTATGGATGAAATAATAAACAGAAAGAACTAAAAAGGATACCAAATGGGAGAAAAACAACTTAAAATATTCTGCTATGCAAACGACGCAATAGTGATTTACAACATATGCTGCACCAATTTAGTATAACCGCCAGAAAATTTAACATGTTAATTTCCCCAAAAGAAGACAAAATGCATGTTTATAACAGCAAATTTACTAAGCTGTAAATTGGAGCTGGAAGGTCAGATAATAGAATAAGTGATGGAGTTTAAATATCTAGACATTGGGCCTCACATTATCTAGCTACGGAAAGCTCGAGACAGAAATGGAATTCTGACAAAATCAAGTGAATAGAACAGACAGAGACGCAGTTTGCCTGAATGAATGAAACAATATGGAGAAATAAAAATATCGGGAAAGAAATGAAAGGCAGAATGTACAAAACAGTCATCAAACCAATAATTAGAAACACGGCTGAAACACGACCTAACACAGAAGATAAAAAGAATGCAGAGACGAAAACACTTAAAAAATTTATGGTAAAATACTATGGGACAGAGCTAGAAGTACAATATACGATGTAGATGCACGGTGGAGAACATCAAGGACTAGGTAATAAATACGAGTAGAATGGAATAAGCTTTATTTTTGTTTTGTATACTTTATCGACCAAAGGCATTTTTGAGTTATTCATGAAAACCCGTTAAAAAAACGTGACTTTTTCAATGAAAATTTGCTGTTTTCAACCATAAATAGCTCAGACAGTATTGACTTTCTGAAAAAACTCTAAAGGACAATAGTTGCTTAGAATTTAATCCTCTATCGATACTTTCCCATCAACTCACCAAATTTCTAGTTCAATGAATCGGTTGAGTCCGACAAAATTGGGAGGTGAGAGTGACTGGGGTAATAATGGTTTGATATTTTCATATGTTTGTATTTTTATATATTTAAGCGATAATTTAAATATCAGTTGGCGTGGGTTGGTGTTATGTAGACTTTGGTTAAATATTCTAGATATTGTAGAGAGCTGTTGCTTCCTTTTTCCATGGTGAATTTGTTTGATGCTCTTAAAAGTTCTAAATTTTGGTGTTACCTTCCCATCATTTCCTAAACTAGTAAAATTTAATTTTTATAATCATAAATTTTGGTTTAATCCCAATTAAATACAAAGTTTTCATATTCCGTGGTCTAACGAACACAGGAAAAATATCCTATTTACGGATGAGAAGAATACAATAACGGAAGGCTGATAAGCGTAACCACTTGTAGAGAAAAGTAGAGGAGCGTTACGCCAATTGCAACAAATTGTATTTTTTTTCCTTGAATATTATACAAGTTCACTTAAATCTTTCGTATTTCTTAGAGTAAAAATATAGTGAAACGACGAGGTTCGGAACTAACGACGTGATTCAGTTTAGATAATGGAGTCTACTTAGTTATGCAGTGCGACAAAGTTGCAATGCAACATGCAACTAGATTTAAAATAATTTATAATTATTGTAATCGTTTATCGGAGGAATACAGCGAATACAGCGAATAGAATCAGTCATCAAATTCACCTGGTACTAAGAAAATAATTTAAGATTTAATAACTTGTGAAAAGGTGTGCATTTTTGTTTTTCTTAAAAATGGAGATACTTTTTCTATGATGTAAAACACTATTGATAAATCACTTCTCATATAATTTAAAAAACATACCACACTGCTTTTTTAGTTCAGTGAACGAAATGTAGTAGGCTCTATATTTTGTTCTTTTATGAATTGGAAGTGTCTTCTCTTTGTACAAGAACTTAGATTATCAAAGAGGCACTAGACATACGAATTTTGTCTAGGCTATCCGACAAGAAATATTACAAAAAATATTGTTTAAATAACTGAGTTTTATTGTTTCAGACATCAGTTTTAATATTTTCTGCTCAAATGAGGTTTATATCAACGATTGAAGTAACGAAAAATATCTCCCTCATTAGCAATGAAAAGAAAAATTGTAAAGTGATCAACCTTGAGCTGAGTGAACCTCAAGATAAACCACTTATGGTAATGATATCTTGGTTACTGGCCAAGAAGAAGTATTCATATAAATATGCAGATATATACTTAAAACAAGGATTTGATGTGCTTAACATCAACGTGAGTCCTTGGCAATTCCTCTGGCCCACCAAAGGAACACAGGTAAGTTTGTATGATTATGGTGAAAACTCTCATTTTCTACTCTATCGGTGAATTAAAACATCGGATAGTGTGTTTTTTGGAACCTAATGGTTTTTGTTTTATTTAGTTAAAAAATTTGTATTACCTTTAGAATAAAAAAATAAATTAAATAAAAAAACTATGTGCGCCCTTTCAGAATGTCATTTATTTTGCTCCAAACGTTTAAAAAAATTTTAATGTGTTTTTAAGGCATTTATTTTTTCCGAATACGATTGAAAATATTTCCGAAATTTAAATTTAAAAATGCACTAGGAATTTATCATACATGTCGTCCATTTTCAAAAAAGGTGACAAAAGGTCACCAAATAACTACAGAGAGATCAGTGTAATGCCTTCAATAGCAAGAATCTTTTCATCAGTTATAAAAGAAAAACTAGAGCAACACATGGACCATTATAGCGAAGAACAAGCCGGATTCCGAAAAGCCAGATGATGTTTAGATAATATATTCATTATGAAACAGGTGATTGAAAACAACAAAGAAAAAAACATTGAAACTCATATGACCTTTATCGACTTAGAGAAAGCATACGATAGCGTGCCCAGGAAACAACTATGGGAAGCGGTGAGAAAAATGCGCGTTAGAGAGAAATGTGTGAATATAACACAAAGACTGTACATATAAAGAAACACAAGTGCAAATAAAGTTAGGTAATGAAATAACAAAAACAATCACCGCAACAAAAGGCCTCAAACAGGGATGTGGTCTCTCACCTATACTTTATAACATATATATATATATATATATATATATATATATATATATATATATATATATATAGATCAGGCTTTAAAAAGATGGTATTCGCTGTGAGTTTCGCCGGTAGCGCTCTCTCGCGGTTTGAAACTTGTACTTTTCTTGTAAAATCAGTGTAAATGAAATATGACAAAACGAGAGAAATAGATATTTATTTAAAAATACAAAATAATGAACTGAAATATTATGGTAAACTGATTAATGAACGAATACACAGAATTAATAGTAAAAATAATTACGCCTTGCTATTTTATTCATTATAATTATAATATTTAAGATGTAAGTTCTTGCGACTGGATGACTACTTACGCAAGAGGTCATTGAGAAAAAGAAGAAGTGTATATGAAAATATTTAATGGTTAAAGCAAATATTTAAGGTTATAGACGCTTAAAACGTCTATATTCTTTAGTTAAAGGTTACCTTTACCTCTGTAATTCTTGTTTTTATTTTACATTTATATTCTGTTTTTGCTCAGTTATTTTTTGTGTGCGTAGGCCTTAGTGCTTAGATATCAATTTGTTTTAATTCTTCTTCTTCTTCTTTCGTTTTATGGCCTCCACCTCTTAAATTTGTTTTAATTTTATCAAAATGGATATTAAACATTATACTGAGTCTATATCACATGATATCCCATTTCAACCAGCTACACCAAAGAAGGGAAAAGGTTTAGTTGATGCAGGGCATGTACGCAATTTATCGGAATATAATAGCTTTTTAATTTTACACCATATAAATATCATGTTTGCATTATAGGTTATTTACATATTTTTCTCGTTGATAGCAATAATCCATTTTTCTCTTTGAACTATTTTATGCTTGGCAACAGGAAATGAATAAAATTTACAATGACTGCTGTACCCAGTATTTTTACATGTATCATATATTTTTCTTTTTGAAAAATCCATATTCGCCATTATTTGAATGTTTACAAATGCACAAAACTGCCACTAACAGCGTTGGTAAAAACTGTCAAATCCCCTCTACTCATCGGCTCACAGCGAATAGAAAATGCGGAACAATGGTTTATATCAACAAGAGAATATATTACATTCACTACTTTTTGCAGATGATCAAGTCATTTTTGCACAAGACAGGGAGGACATGGAATATATGATAAGGAAATTAAAGGAAGAATATGAACTTTGGGGACTCAAGATAAATATGTACAAGACCGAATACTTATGTATTGGACCTGAGGTTGTGGATTTTAACTTAAGTTTAGAAGAAGTGACTATTAAGAGTTGTAAGACTTAAGTACCTGTAAAGACCTGTAAGTATTTAGGGTTAATGATTAGCTGAGATGGTACTTGTATGAAAGATATAGAAATGAAAATAGCACGGGGAAAACAAGCCACAGGAGCACTTCATGGAGTGATATGGAACAACACTCTAACCAAAGAAAACAAAAAGAGGATTTTTCAAAGCATAGTGATGAATATAACCCTATATGGAGCGGAAGTATGGCCAATGACAACAACAATACGAAATAAAATAAAAACATCTGAACTGGACTTTATGAGAAGATGTCTACAAATCACAAGAGCGGATAGAATAGGAACGGAGGAAATATGGAACAGAATGGAAGTAGAATGTTCAATTACAAAAAAGTTGGAAAACAGAGCCCTGCAGTGGTACGGGCATGTACAAAGAATGCCAGAGCATAGGTGGCCGAAAAGAATATTAAACTGGACCCGCCGGGAAGAAGACGGAGAGGAAGACCCGCTACAAGATGGAAAACATACGTCGGAAATGCTATGATAGATAGAGACCTCAGAGGAGGGGACTGGGAGAATAGAGTGCTGTGGAGGACGAAAACGGCGAACTCATAATGGGAAAAGCCGAAGAAGAAGAAGAAGAAAATGCACTATCAATATAAATTTCAAATTTCATCAAACTCGGAACAAAACTAAAAAAGGTATTTAAATTCCAAATGGGTTCCAAATAAATTTGGCCCACCGTGTATATACAGGTCTGTTGGCTTAATAAACAATTCGACTAAAATACAGACGCGTGCTGTCCCAACAACCTCCGCATGTGCAGGAAAATTTTATTTTCTGGATGAAAATACCTCATTTTCTATAGAATATGGGCATTTGTTCTGTACTCTTTTTTTATCCTTTGCTAACTTATGTAAAAGTTTTTGTTAAATTCGTTAGATGAAATGCTAAACTGAGCTGAAGCTTTTATTTACGCGGTTTTTTGTAGTAGCTTGTTTGTTTTGTATATTCTTTCAAAATACAAATCTTACGGTCATATTCTAGTATTGATTATTTTCCGGGATAAATTATTCGTTTTCTATTAATTCCTTTATTAATAATAATTAAGATTTATGGTTTGACAAACCAATCACGATTTTCAGTTATCTTCTTTCTTTTCTCGTAGGAAGGTGACCTCAGATAATTTTTCTTCACATCATCTTTAGCATTGTATTGTAATAGAAAACTTGCATATATAATTTTTTCAAATAAAAAATCTAAACTTATTTATAACAGAGTTAGTTTAATAATACTAATTATTTTTTGAGGGATATGTAAAATAGATATTATTTTTTATTGCAATTTAAATTTGATACGTCATATTTTGAGGTCGTTAATCTATATACTTATATAATTTGCGGTTAAAGATTTTATTTAATACTGTAGATTAATCTACTTGTTTCATTCTAATATAAGAAGTATTAACTTTCAATTTTATGTAAAATGATTATTATTGCGGAAATACTTTTTATATGTATTTAACTTAACTTTTCAAAATTTATTGCAGTGTTAACAAGTATTCCACTTTTAAAGAATGTATAAAGTAGTAATTTATGTAAAAAGTTAATAAAACATGTATTTTTTTCACGAATAGATTGAAACAAATTAAATATTTTAAAATTTTACCTTAAACATTACATGTCATATTTGTCGTCTGGAGTATTCAATAAAAATGTATTCATGTCCTCCCTTGAAATGTATTAGATTTTTTTAAGTTTGTACCCAACCGATTTTGTAAATCGAGTATTTACTTATGTCTAGTGGTCATTAATCATTAAGGTTGTTTTTAGTTTAGAATAGCTGAACCATAATGTAGAAGACTTGAATTTTGTAGATATTTCTTCAAAAAAATCTAATAGCATCTGCTCTGTAAAGCTGTGAATATTCTGGTTCCGCGATTTCTTAAAAGTATCATATTCTTTTAGATAATATTCTTCGGTACCTACTTCTATCAACTAATGAATGCATTACTACTAATGCACTAATTAATGATCAGTGTAGTAGTGTCTGGGGGCACGGGAGACAGATCTCGGAAGCCCTGAAGAAGACATCGAAGAGGATATCGAAAGCTCGGCGCAATGATTCAACGACGCGGTTCAAACCGGAAGACTGTTGAGTTTAATATTAATTTTTGTAATAGTATTAATCTTAATACTATACTTAATACTACTTAATACTAAGTAAATACAACGAAAAGATCGCCAAGTATAGAGATTTTAAGATACATGTAAGGAGACAATGGAGAATGGAAAGTACCCAGACGATAGCTCTTATCCCTTTACTACTGGAGTCATTTCAAGAACTTCATAATAGCTGGGTGTTACTGAGCATCTCTATAAGACCATGCAGAAAGCGATATTACTTTGAAGGTTCAGATGCATAAGAAAATTTTTTGCGAGATACTCAGACGTAGCAAGTCACCTAGTTCTTAATAACACGAAAAGAGCCCCACCATAGATCAATCATTTTAATATCGTTGGTTTCGGGGAAGAGTGAATTTTCCCCTTAGAGGAAATGAGAGCCGTATTGGTTAAATCTGGATATTAGGAACAACTACTAAATTAACTCAAATCGAATTGTTTGCCCTATTAATAAATATTTTAACTTCACATCAATAATTATTGATGTGTAATTATTATAGTTCATGTACTGTCAAGATCAAAGGTGACTTGATATGTAACAATAAAACACTGAAAACTTTGTTTTCAAACTTCAACAAAATTTATTTTAACCTCTTTTCACTATAGCTGTTTCGGCTGATTGCCTTTCTCAAGTGATCTATTTTTGGCATGCATTTACACTTTATAGTCTCTAATGAAATAGGTTGAGGAGGGGAGAACTGTTTGTCTCAAGTTGGTCATTCAGAATTATATCTGTATTTTTAATTTGTTGATTTCCATAGATTCTAACAAGGATAGCTTAAGGCCTTTATTTTGAATGTGAAGAATTTTAAATTCATCATTAAAAGAATGATTGTGATCTAGAAGGTGAAGTGCGTATGTAGAATCTGTTTTTCCATTATTGAAAGCCCTTTATGTTCTGCTATTCGTTTATTAAAGTTTCTACCAGTTTGACCGATGTAAGTTTTTGGGCAGTCGCCACATTTAAGTTTGTACACACCACTGTGTAAGTGTTTTTTATTTTGGCTCTTGTTGTTTTTGATATATTTGCCTAGGTTGTTATTTGTTCGGAAAGTTGGTGTTATTCCTTTCTTTTTTATGTGTTTGGCTATTTTTGTTGATAATTTGTCTGTATATGTAATCGAGCAGAAGATACTGGGTTTTTTCTCTGGTGGTGGAAATACTAATTTCAGGGCTTTCTTGTGTAGTTTTTGATTTAACATTTTATTAATTAATTGTTCGTTATATCCGTTGTTTACTGCTATTTGCTTAATGATATTTAATTCTGTCTCAAAGTTGTATTTTGACATCGGAATTTCTGTTAATCTATGTAACATACTATGATAGGCTGCCAGTTTATGTTGTGTTGGATGGGATGATGAATTGTGTATAGTCGTGTCAGTATGGGTAGGTTTATGAAATATGGAGAAGTCATGTTTTTTTTACGTCTGATAATTTTTAAATCTAAAAAATTTATGGATTGATTTTGTTCTGTTTCTATTGTAAATTCAATATGACTATGAAATGAATTAATATACGATAAAAATTGATCGAGTTGCCTGTTAGTTCCTGTGAAACATACCAGTAATACTAGAAAAACAGATTCTACATACGCACTTCACCTTCTAGATCACAATCATTCTTTTAATGATGAATTTAAAATTCTTCACATTCAAAATAAAGGCCTTAAGCTATCCTTGTTAGAATCTATGGAAATCAACAAATTAAAAAACACAGATATAATCCTGAATGACCAACTTGAATAGTAAACGCATGCCAAAATTAGATTACTTGAGAAAGGCAATCAGCCGAAACAGCTGTAGTGATAAGAGGTTGAAATACATTTTGTGAAAGTTTGAAAACAAAGTTTTTAGTGCTTTATTGTTACATAAAATAAATTACCATCAAGTAACGGTCGAATCCATCAATTAGTGACTTGATATTTTATTTTCGGTACAGGTGTGGACTAATTGCACTAATCAACTATATTACCTTATAGAAAACGAAAATAAAGTTAACTTTATGGCACTTTTTGTAACCCTTTTTTACTTTTTTCACAGTCAGCCGTGCATAGCAGCCGTGTTAAGCGCAAAAAATCGATGTGATATAAGGAACTTTAGAATTAGGGCGTAGAAAAATATTTTTAAAAATATTATTTTATTAAATTTTAAGTTCCAATAGAGATACGTTTTAAGTTATATTAAACACCTCACACTAGGGGTTTGAAATACATAATGATAGGTTAAAAAATAAACTATCTTGGAAAAGTTGTCATATTATTAGATAAAAAAAAATGAAATGAAAATTATCAAGTTCCCTATTAAATGTTACTTCAGTACTTCCATAAAAATATAAATCTGAAATATACCGATAAATAGCATTTGGACAATGTTCATCGTTAAATTATGTAAATCAATATTTTTGCAGATGGTGGCCAAAGACATTGTAAAATTTCTAGACGTAAATGCAAGTTATAGCCCCTTGTTACTACATGGCTTTTCAGTTGGAGCATACCTCTGGGGTGAAGCTTTGGTACTTATGTCTGCAGAAAGGCAAAAATATGACCACATCATAAATAGAATTGTAGGGCAGGTCTGGGATAGTGCAGCCGATGTCACGGAAATACCAGTGGGATTTCCCAAAGCAGTGTTTCCTAATAATTCCGTGTTACAAAATACACTCAAGCAGTACATACTGTAAGTACAGGGACTGCTCAAAAATTGCAAATTAAATGACGATATGATTTTTAGGTATCATCTAAAAACGTTTGATAAAACTGTAACTGTCCATTATGTAAGGTCAAGCCAGATGTTCCACACTAACATAGTGAGAGCTCCCGCTCTGATGTTTGTCAGTAAATCAGATCCCATTGGGAGTGAAACCTCGAATAGAAGAGTTACAGATAACTGGGAAAATATGGGGATGCAGGTAATATCATATTATTTTATTAATTTTGTGGAATTCGACAACAACTTTTTTTTTTGATAAAAATTTTTTTTTTTTTATAAAATTGTATATAACCGTTTTTTTAGGTTACTTTTAAAACTTGGGAGAATACACCACACGTTGGACATTATCGGGCACACCCTAAAGAATATTTAACAGAATTGAATTCTTTCTTAGGATCCCTGAATATTCCACTGTCGAAAGTTGAAGAAAAGGTAAAAGCTTCAGCGAAGCTTTGATGTGATTTATATGTATACTACATTTACATAAATTTGTGCTGTTTAATAGTTTAGGTAATTTTTTATTTCTAAGATTATATTATAATAAATATAATATATGCATTTTTACCCTCCCTACAAGTTCGTTTCTTAATAATTACCTTTCTAAATATTTGTAGAATATAAACATCCAATAAAGCAAAATAACATATACAGAATCTGAATAAGTCCAAAGTGGCTAATAAGTGGAGAGCCCTACAGAAACAAATCCTTATGGAAAAAATCATTAGCAACATTGACAGGAGCTTTTGTCTAGTCTAATCTCGTCTTTCTAGACGAGAGCTGAAGACGATCAGAAATGGAGACTGGACACTGTCAACTGGGGAAAAACCTACACTACATGGCGAATGAACTGTGATGCAGGAAATGAGAAATGGAGGAAGAAAGTATAAATCTCTGAATATGAAATGTATGAGATATGAAGCGGATATACAGGGACAAAACAAGTATTGGGCCAGGAGATATACCTAAACTCCTTATAAAACAGATGTAAAATTTTTATTAAGATTACAGTACTTCTTGGTCTGACATTCTAAATGCCAGAGATAAAAAGCGTCTACATCTAAACTCGGATTCACCAGTAGATGTCAGCGTTGGCTCTTACGGACAATGTTAATCAAATGGAAGAAAACGCTGCAGCGTTGCTAGTTCATCGTCGGCCTCAACGTGGCAGAGCTTCGAACTTAACACTCCCTTACAAACGGAGCACTTGCAATTTTGTACTAACATTCACTGATTTCCCCTATTGACTGTTGAAGAAAATATTGGACGTCGTCGTAATATAGTGCTCAACAATTGATAAGGATCATAATTATGATTTCAAATATTTTAAAAGTTTGTTGAGATCCTAGTATGATGACTTAATCTCTCTCTTCAATCCTGACCCCCCAGGGGGAGTGTAGTGGTCGACGTGATGTCGTGTATTGTCCGTCTCGAGAGATCTCTGTCTCTGGTCATTTCTTTTAATTCATGCATAGGTCTTTGGCATATTCCTGTAATTTGATCTATCCATCTTGTTGGGGATCTTCCTCGTGATCTTCGGCCTTCTACCTTTCCTTGTATTATGAGTCTTTCCATGTTTTCTGTGTTTGCTCTCATAACATGCCCAAAATATTTTAATTGTTGGAGATGGACTCTACTAGAGAGTCGTTGGCTAACTTTTAGCTCTCTTAAAATTGAATTATTTGTTCTACGGTCGGTCCAAGGAATTCGTAACATTCGTCTCCAACAGAACATTTCAGTGGCGTCTATCTTTTTTCTCTCCGATTGTCTCAGAGTCCAAGATTCACATCCGTAGGTCAGTATTGGGAATATTAAGCAGTTGATCAACCTCATCTTTATCGCTCTTGAAATTTGACAGTCCTTCCATATCTTGGTCATTTTTGCTGTGGCAACTTTTGCTAGATCACATCTACGTTTAATCTCTTCTTGTAATGACCCTGTGTTTGTGATTAATGATCCCAGATATAAGTATGAGCTCACAACCTCGAACCGGTCAATTGTGGTTATGTGTGGATGATTGTTGTGTAGTCTATCCACTATCATGATCTTTGTCTTTGATATGTTTAATTGCAGACCAAATATTTGACTTTCGTTTTCGATCAGTCGTATAAGTTCCATCAGCTCTGCTTGACTATTTTGCAAGAAGGGCTGTGTCATCTGCGAAACGTAGGTTGTTTAGTTTATGACCATTTATTGAGATGCCCTTTTCCCATCCTTCAAGTGCTCTTCGCATAATATACTCCCCATATATATGTTGAATAATTGTGGAGATAGTATACATCCTTGTCTGACACCCCTTGGCTTGAATAGAATAAATGAAAATAGACGACTTTGACTTTGATCAACTTTTTGCTGACCCTAGTAAAAAATGGCCATAATGGCAAAATTTATTTTATTTCGTTGACATTGATAATAAAGTCGGGGTATTAATATTACTTTAATCATATTAAATTTTTACAAACTTCGGCTATTTCTGGAATAAAATATTACTTCGGTTTATTAATTGTTGAGCACTGTTGTATTTGACGAATAGAAAATTGCTTACATCTTTTGTTGTCATATTTACGGAAATGGACGTTTGGAGACCTTTTGAATAGAATTGAAATGAATAGAAAGAAAATGCCACGATTAGTAGATAACTCAAAAATATATCGAGGATACATAATTTATATTTTAGTATTATTTATACAGGGTGTTTCATTAACAGTTATCCATATAGTAACTGGAGATACCTTAGCACAAAATACGAAGATTTAACCTAACACACTAACACATGCTATGATTTTTGTGACTGATATTTTTAAGTTAAAGTTGATTTCATATAATCGAATGAACCATCTTTCAATAAAATCCTTGCAACTTAATAATATTAGCAATATCATTTTGATGTCTTCTACTTTAAAATGTTTAATATGTCTGATTTGCCGATATGAATGAGTCAGATTAAATTTAATTATTAGAATTTTTTTACTAACAACAAAATTTTTGTAATTGATTAATATTTTGTATTTCTATAATGACCTCCGAAGTGAAAGTTGTAGAATAGCTTACTGACTAATGGGCGTTTGTAGAAATGGTTTAATCGTGTAGAAATTTCGGTATTGTTGTAATTAAATACCCATTTATAATTTTCCTGCTAATAGTATCTATTAATTGTTATACGAGTGCGTATATCTAGAGCAGTTTTGCAGTTTGTAGAAACGGTTTAACTATTTTGTGTGTTCATTCGAGAAGGTACGTTAACTTGTCAAAAAATAAGTGCAATTTTTTTTTAAACTTTTTTATGTACTGTGTCAAAAACGTGGAGCATTTAGAGGTGAAAAGTTTCAAACAAGGACAAATCTTAGATTTATATGCGCGACAAATTATTTTGAATTTGTTGATATATACAACGAAAACAAATTCCGATCTGACTCCAACACAAATTTTTTCTACAACAAGTACAACGCTGGGTGTTAGCTATAGGACAGTCTGGAAAATTCGTCAGGAAGGATTGGATCATAATGGAGACTTACCCAAAATTCTGAAAAATCCACGTAAACGGACCAAGAAGGAAACCAATCGGGAGTTTACCTACGATGAGAATATCAGGAGCCAATTGAGAAGACTGGTTCACATGGAATTTTTCTTAAAGAACATACCTCCCACAATCAAAGCTATCCTGGATGCCGTTAATTTACACGAATATTTGCCTAAATTTTCCAAAAGTACTCTATATCGACTATTGCGAGAGATGGGGTTCGTTCAATTGTTTGATCCAATATTTTCTATTTGGATGAAAGTTGGGTAAATATCAGACATACAGTAAATAAGGTATACAGTGTAGGTAAAATTTTAAGGTCGGTATGGTAAAATTTAACAGGATATCTAACGCAGATATAAAATCATATTTTCAACGAATTAGACAAAGATAACAATCATATTTCCCCTTCGTCTCCCCTCCTAAAATCCTTTTAACACTCATTGGCCATTGCCGATTAGTGAGACGATTAGTTCCGATCAGATATTCTCTGGTTCCGATCCTAATATACCTAAAAAACTAGAGGTGGGTCTTCTCGTTTTTTTAATTTTTATCGGAACCGTTTTTCGTAAACTGTAACTAGTTGATTGTTTACCAGTATTCAAATTAGCGAGTACACAAACATATTAGCTATTATCGTTTATGTGTATAAGTATTGAAATAAAAGAACCTAACGAAGGATATATTTATTGTAACTTGAAAAATAAATTAAATAATACAAATGGTACTTAAATAGTTACATTTACATTACACATTATTAAATCGCGAATCGTCTAAATTGACATTTAAAAACATAAGTTTTTCCACTTTTCTTGTTAATCGCGTTCTTCTTTTATTTAAAATTATACCAGATGTTAAACATGTGTTCACAAGGAAAAGATTTTGTTACAATACTACAACATTTTATGAATATAGTGGTTAAGTTACGATATACATGGCGATGGTTTTTTCACCACGGTAATGGACAGTTCCAATCTCCGTTCGAAATTGTTTGTGGGTAATATATCATCAGACAATTACATGTCGACTTCTTTTATACCTCTCGATACAGGTGTATGTTTAGATGAGTCATGTCCAATTAATTCATCAAAAAAAAAACCATGGACTTAAGTCATCTTTATCAGTTTCTTTTTCTTGGACTGATTGATTTTCAAGATTTACTAAACTTTTCGTTTCATCCGTTTTCCATAGTTAAAGAACCAGCTTTTAAAAAGTTTGCAGGGTGGATTCCTGGATATAAACCACCAACAAGAAAAACTTTGTCAGGTTCATTACTTCAGGAATGTTATGTCAAAAGTGAGCAAATTATTAGATCGCAAGTTGTTAAAGAAGTAGAAAATATCTGTATTAGCTGGACATCTGGAGTAACTGAGAGTTACTTCGCATTAACAGGACAATATTTAACACAGGACAATAGTTTTTATGTCAATTTAGACTATTCGCGATTTAATAATAACGTGTAATGTAAATGTAAGTCCGATTTACTATTTGTATTGTTTAGTTTAGAACAGAATATTTAAAACAGAATATTTAAAAATTGGAGGAAATACCACAGATCTGAGGCTTGAAAACGCAGTCATAAAAGGCTGCAACCAGTATAAATATCTAGGAAGCATCATATCAGCAGATGGCAGAGTTAAGATAGATGTACAAAACCGAATAACCCAAGGGAAAAAATGCATCCGAATACTGAATTCATTACTGTGGTCTAATAAAATAAAGATGCATACCAAACTTCGCGTATACAGAGCAATTGTAGAACCAATTACCACATATGGTGCCGAATGTTGGACGATGACAAAGAATGAACGAGATAAAGTAGACGTTGTGGAAATGGATTATCTTAGACGGTCATGTCGAGTATCGAGAATGGAAAGAATCAGGAATGAGGAAATACGAAACCGTACAGGAATTAGAGATACTCTTTCAGATAGAATACAAGGAAGGCAATTACAATGGTATGGTCACGTGATGAGAATGGAGGAGGAGCAGTGGCCAAAGAAAGCCTTAATGTATGTTCCGCCAGAAAGAAGGAAAAGGGGAAGACCACCAAATT